TTGCAATCCATGTTGGAAAATAATCCACATTTAACAAGTCGAGAAATTGCAGAAGAGTTTGGCATTCATCATACAACTGTTGGAGATCACATTAAATCTCTTGGGTTTGTGTTAAAGCAAAGTGTTTGGGTTCCACATGAATTAACGGAAAAGAATTTGTCTGATCGTGTAAGAATATGTTCATCACATCTGATTAGACACAATGTGGAGCCGTTTTTGGACAGGCTGGTTACTGAAGATGAAAAGTGGATTCTTTACGAGAATATTAAAAGAAAAAAAATCTTACTGCAAAGCAGGAACATCATCAGCAACAGTTCCAAAACCAAGTATCCATCAACGAAAAGTACTGCTTTGTTTGTGGTGGGACAGGAAAGGTCCAGTGTATTACGAGTTGCTGAAACAGGGAAAAAACATCAACGCGGATCTGTACTGCAATCAGCTGGATAAATTGAATGCAGCTAACAAAGAAAAAAGGCCAGCATTAGCATCCAGAAAAGGAATAGTGTTCCATCACGATAATGCTCGCCTGCATACTGCACTGGTGACACTACAAAAACTGAATGTGTTAGGATGGGAAATCCTTAGTCACCCCCCGTATTCACCTGACATTGCACCCTCTGTATATTACCTTTTCAGATCTCTGCAAAATTATCTAACGGGAAAAAAATTCAAGTCTTTTGAAAGTGTTTCTAAGGCAGTTGCTGACTATTTTAACTCCATGGATGAGAACTTCTATAAAACAGGAATTTACAGGTTACCTGGAAGATGGCAACAGGTTGTAACAAATAACGGAGCATATATAATTGATTAATATTAAACACATATTTTTATAAATGAATTCAAATATTTTCTTTAAAATACGACAGAACTTTCCCTCCAAACCAATAGAAGTAGTTTGAGGGTGTGAGGTTGGGAGAGTATAGTGGATGGACCAAAATACCTGTCAAGTTATCAAAGTTTCTATTGGGGGGCTAAAAACGTTTGGTCTAGCATTGTCTTGACGTGGCATAAAACCTCTTCTGTTGGCTAATTCAGGCAGTTACCAATTGACCACTCACTTGGTTATGAACTGTATTTCTTCAAAATAATTGTGTAGTTTTTCAGGTAATATATCATAATAAATGATCCTCTTCCTTTGATGCAAAACATTAGATGCTTTACATAATATTTTTCGGATGGAAATTGGCTTTTGTGCGGGTTGATGAGGTATCTCTGCACTTACACCATGATCTCGTATAATTAACATTATTTCGTATAATCAATTTTTCATTACCAGTTTTGAAGCAGAAGGTTATAATCTTCCCCTTCAAAAGCAGAGTGATTATATTACTTCAGAATCACAAACATTATTTCTCTGATATGTCTTTTTATCATAATTTTTTTAAAATTTCTAATAAAGTGTTCCTTTTATTATTATTTATGAGCAGTACCTATGACCTGTAAAGCTAGCCAAACAAACATTTTTCACCCATTTACAAAGCCACTAATAAATTGGCATCTATCTATGGGAATGCAGAATAATCAGAAAGTATCATTATTTATATTAATACAAGTTTTATTTATTTACTTCTTTAGAACCTGCAAATGTTTCTTGGATTACAAAGAAATAGGAGCTATTATGAGTTGAAATTAACCCCTTAACTGCCACGGGCGTATATATACGCCTTGCTCTGCCGATGCATTAACTGCCTCGGGTGTATATATATGCCCTTCCAAACTACTATCATTTGCTTTGCGCTGCTACCCGTAAAATTATTTGCAAAGCTTTGGAATGCAACACTACAATGACCTTGAGAAAGTATGTGAAGGAGGAGATAGGATAACTATTTTGAAAGAAGTGTGGGGAGAAAATTGGAGAGAGTGATGTGATGTGTCTAAGCCGTGAAAGCCGTGAAAGTAATGACTGCGTGGTATTGGCTGGTATTATTTGAGTAAAACTTTTTTTTTATTCTGCGTCCTCCGTTTTTGTTTACTTTTTATATTAGGTTACAGGAATAAAGAAATATATAATGGATGTTTCAAACCCATTTATCTTTTTTGAATTATTTTTTGATGAATTGCACGTGCTTCATATTGTTACTGAAACTAACCGTTTTGTAGACGAGTATATGAAGTAACACCTTGCAAACGAAAAATCAAGAAAATCATGGCATTCAACCAGTTCAGAAGAAATATATGTTTTTTTAGGCATACTGATTTCACAAGATATAATGCTGAAACCTGATATTACACTTTACTGGTCTAAAAATGAATTGATCAAAACTCCATTTTAGGGATCTTTTTTTATTATAAAAACATCATTTTTATTATACTTACGTCTTTTTAGTATACTTTTTTACTCAAACATTAAATTTTGTGCATTCATTTTTTCTTTTATTCTTTATTTTGTGAAAGTAAACAGTTTTTAGTAAGTAAAACTTGCACTTATTTTCTCCCCAATACATCGCATAATTACGTGCGCCTGTGTGAAAAATGTGGCACTGGGAAATGAATCTTTTACATTTTCCGCGGCAGTTAAGGGGTTAAAAAAAAGTTTCCCAGATTTAAGCAGCTACTGCTTATTGTCTCAAAATTTACCTATGGTATCAGGAAGTAAGTACCTTCTTTTATTGCAGGTTAAAAACTGTGCCTGATAAATTGCATCTTTGCAACTTAATGCTTTTATTCTATTTTTCTTTCTTTCTTTCTTTTTTTTTGCTTTTGTTTTTGTTTTATTGTAGCCAAAACAAACTGCTGAGTGAACAAAATAAGTCATCTGTGAAACCTATGGAGAGAACATTATATTTATTGATGTTTGTAAGATGTGGTTTTAAAAGGATTATCAATGAAATTGTCATTAATATAAACATGTGATACACAGACCAAAAATTAGATGAATTTCAAGAATCTAGTCAGATATTGGATCAAGATCTAGACAGATATTGGGGAACTTAAAAATGCATCTATACGTTTTTTAACTGTAGTCAAATAAATAATTCTAATGAACTTTGCCAGAAACATGATGCAGTAAAAGCCAGCTATCTGGAAATCAACTAACTGAAAAATTTAATAAATGAGGGATTTATAATAACGTATAGAGTTTGTAATATTATTAAGACATATTGTATTATGTTTTAATAATATTACAAGCATATTAAGACATATATATATTAATGCCCTAACAGTGTTAATTTAGCACCAATAATGAATAAGCATGACGTTACCACACTATCATAAGACGTTCATTTTGGTTTAATGTAAATTTGGTTAATTCTTAATAATCCAGTTTAATTTTTATAAAGAAAGATTAAGTTATATTTTTTCCTCGCACTTTGAAAAAATGATAAATATCTGGGACTGTATGAAATCGAATATTTTCAAAGTTACAGCATCAGGGCATCAGTAAAAGCCACGATACATGACTTTAAAAATGGATAAACGTAAAAGCCACGATACATGACTTTAAAAATGGATAAACGTAAAAGCCACGATACATGACTTTAAAAATGGAAAAACAATGCTGATGTAACATGAGAAATTATAAGTGATTCATTTATATGTTATATCTGTAGTTCGTATCTGTTTATTATGCAACTAGATAAAAAAACGATTTACTTGTTTAAACTTCTGCCAGAATGATTGGTGACATCTCCTCCAACTTTCATGTTTGGTGTTATTTAATAATTGGATCAGATGTTTAAGACCTGAAATAAGTCAACTTTAATTCTAAAATGCGTTTTATCATTTGAAATTTTATTTAATTTTATATGTAGGCTTTTGATATTCAAGTTGGTAACAAATAAGGTAATTGTTTTTGTAATTTTAGAGTGAAAATTTTTTTCCATTGATTTGACTTATCTAGCATTAATTCTACTCAACTACAGTCAAAAGTCATTAATTTGGACACCCATAATCCAGAATGATCTATAATCCAGACCTCAAAGCTACAAACTTTCTGCGCATGCGTCGCGTTCACGCATGTGCATAGGCATTTACGAGTGCGCGTAACACCTTTACGGCTGCGAATATGTGTGTGCGCATGCGCGTTTAATGTGTAACCGACGGTATAAGCTAAGCTAAAATTATCTAATTCAGTTAATGTTGCAGATTGCGTTGTTCCTTAATCTTCGAATTGGATCCGGCTTATTATTTTTTGCAGACTGTTAGAGCAATTTTATAAAAGTAAGCTTGAACTTTCGATTATGTCAAATAGAATTTCCGATATATATTTACTAATATGTAAAAGATCTACAAAGTGAAAGTATGTTTTGAAATCCGAAACCTGTTTATCAATTTCACGCCACGGCGGGCAATGAATTGGAAGTTGATCTGTCAGCACTATGCTTATCTTCAGGGCAGATGTTTTTATTTTATTTAGCTTATAATTCCTTACTAAATGTAGTATTTGATCTCGATGTACTCCGTCTTTGATATGATATAAATCAAGTTCCTCGTCATTATAATTCGCTTCCAATAGTGAAGAAAGTGACCCAGAGGTTATTGAAAACGAAAATATTTTGATTGACAAATTAGTCGGTATTCACAACACAGCAATTATAGGACTTCAACAGCGGAACTTTGTAACTAAACAAGAAATTATGTCTGTTTAATAGAATTAAAGAGAAAGTATTATCACATAAAACGAAGCAACTTAAACAACTTACATTGAAAGAAATGTTTAGTAAAGTAAACAAATAAATATTAAGCTTTTTCTTTTTGTAAATTTTGATACCCTTTAGATCATAATTGTTCTTTATTTCATAAATTACGGTTTCATATTTTTAATTTTGTAATTTCTGCATGCCATCTTACCAGATTTAAACTTATGATCTATAATCTGGAAAAATCGATAATCCGGAATCGCTGAAGTCCCGACGAGTCCGGATTAACGACTTTTGACTGTAGTAGAAATTTTCACATATCCTGAATTTGGTATTTCCCAAGCTTTCTGGATAGTCAAGCATTACTTACTGCATTACTTATGATATTAAGAAAATGACATGTTCATGTTTAAATTTTAGGTGACAATGAATCTGGAAAAACCTCCTTAATAGCAAAATTGCAAGGAAATGAAGATCCTCGTAAAGGCTCAGGACTTGAATATCATTATGTGTACGTTAGAGATGAATACCGTGATGGTAAGATTAGTACTCATGCTTGGGTAACTTGATATATTTTTAAAGGAGATTAAATATTTTAATTTAAACTCTTGAAAGATATTATCTTTGCTTATTAATCCTCCAAGCATGAAGGATTTGATCATGAAACTATAATTTTTCTCAAATGCCATTAATAAGTATAAAATTCACTTTCAACTTCTTTTCTTTCAATATATATTCTGACCAATATCAGATCCATCAAAAGTTAGCAGAATTTTGTATGTAGCTAATTGGAAAGCATATTTCTGTATTGAATTTTGCACCCATTAATCTCGGAGGGTTCAACCAAACTTTTGAAGTATATCACATTTATCCTGTTTGCAGATACATTTAAAAATTTATTAGCTATGATTGATTTTTTTATACTTAATTCAAAGATGACACACACATGTAATTATTGAATAATTCTTATTTTGTGAACATAATACATTATTATGTTAAAGAATACAACACATTTTTGCATCTTTCATTTCTTCAGATTTGTAGTGTTTCTGCCATATATATATATATATATATATATATATATTATATTCTTTTCTTTCTTTTTCTTTTCTTTACTTTTTTTTTGTTTTGCTTTCACAGTAAAAGTTATAAAAAATGTAAAAAAGTTTCCACATGTAGATTAAATTGCCATAATAAAAAATAATAATAAAGGTGTTAAATAAAATATGAATTTTGTGGGTACTGGAATTAGGCCTCTCTTCTTTTGAAGTAAACGTATACAAAATATTTTTGAAAATTAAGCAAAGAAATTATGTTTTATTTGCATAAAACTAGATGCTTATTTTAAACTAAAATTAAAAGCACTTTGTTTATGTTCATATAAAATATTAAAATTAATGCTGCAATGCCATTTAAAAAAAATTTTAATGCAGTTTAAATGACAAAATCTAAATTTTGTAAGAAATTAATAACAAGCATAATTTTCCTTAGGAAGAACAAGGAAACCAAATATCTGAAGTAGAAGTGATTAGAGTCTTTTTATACGTATGAATGCATATAAGAAACAAGCACATGACTAGTTATTCTTATTAGGGAAGCATATAATGGGTTACATTATCTGCTAATCAAAATACATTAATAATAATATATATAATATTTATATCATCTCAAAATAGTAAAATAAATGTAAAAATATCTTTATAGTAAACTTTTAATTCTTTGTTTCCAAAAACTGTGTGGTAAAAGACCAGAAATGAAGCATGGTAAATTCCCCCCCCCCTTCCTAGGAAAAAAGTTCGGAGCATCTGAATGTCTAGAAGAAAGCTTAAACAGAGCAATAACTAAATGTCATGTCTTTTATATTAGAGTTGATTAAAATTGATATTTTTGTTTAACTTTGTTTTCATATATTTTTACTGCATTTTGTTTTTGGTTCATATGATTTACTTATAATTTCTTTGATTAATTTAATCTTTTAGTAAAAAGTAACTGATTTAATATTTCCTTCTGTTTTTTTTTTTTTTTTTTTTTTTTTTTGATTTATGTACATTTTTGTGTTAGATTATGCTTCTAGTGTAGCTGCATTTAACCTTTTCTGAGTGGGCACCTGATTCATCAAACTGCTTCTTTGAGATGGTGCACTGATAGGATGCACTGTCTTCTTGGGATGGGCAATTTGTGCTGCTAAGTATAACTTTTGAAAAAAATTTGCATAAATTAAATTTGTGGTCCAGTTGTTTTACTTTTGTGCACATTATGAGAGGAACACTTTAGTGGTTGTCAGAATTTATGTAGAAATTTTATCATTATATTTTCCTTGCTATTTGAAGTATGAAAAATGTTTCACTGTACAATACATAAATTATTCACCTGAATGCTAGCCAAACTCTAAGAAGAATAAATAAAAGCTCTAAAACAGTAGGACATATATAACCATATTGGCAAAAATAAAAATGAAAGTATTCAGAAACATCAAGAACTTCCCCATGTGTTTATATCAGCTGACACAGTTAATAGCCAGCTCTATTTATTTTCATTACTCAACCAACGATTTCCACTTTGATTCTGAAACAAAATACTTAAAATAAAAAAAAAATTATGGAATAATATCAACATTCTGCAATCTCGAGGAATTCCACCTGGTGGCAAAAAGGATACTAATTAAATGGTTTGTCTAAAAATTAATATGTACTACAGCCATCCTGACAATCCATTTAAATGGTGATTCATATATGACGCACCCAGCTTTGTGATGCAGTTGGTGGCCAATGCATATACAACACGCCCGTCCTGAAAGGGTTAACTGTGTTTTCCTATCCTCATGTAATATTTTGATGTAAGATATAATTTTATTTCTGCTTGTATAGGATGTAACAGAATTCATGGGCAAAACTTCAATATGTGACCTAGCATGGCAAAAGTAAAAATTTTTCTAATATGGTGCACAGTGGAATGTGAAATTGAACATCGAAATGCAGTAGTTACAAAGAACATGGAAAACGAAAAGTCCTTTTAATAACGGATATCTACAAAAATAGTGTTTGATATTTAAAAGAATTGTTCAGATGAGCAACCACTAACTGCAGCACATAATATATAATGATGACAAATCTTAATTGTTAGACCTAGAACTCTCTTGAAGAACTTGTCACCAAAATTACCATCGCTGCTGCAGAAGTATATGATACGCTGGCCATTTTCCAAAGTGTTTTGGAAAGACCATTTTCCAATCACTGTTGTGACTGTAATGTATACTTTGCAGTTGATAGTCATTCATTTGAACAGTTTTTGTAAATATTGAATATTATATCTTGTAAATATCCATTATTAAAATAACTTTTATTACTCAATGTTTTTCATACTTACCCTTTCCATGTTCACATTTTATATTCCACCATGCAGTATTTCTAGAATTGTTACATTTGTCATGTTCTATCTTAAAGTTGAGACTATCGATCCTGTTATATCTTGTGTATTGATATTTATATTTAATAGTAAATAGTAGTGAGGATGTTAATTATGTGATTTATGGATTCTTTGCAAATATGTATAAACTTGCATAAATTAAGTATATTATGTTGATTATATTTTGTCTGCTAAACACTGGTGTAATTTTGTTTATCATAGTTCTTTCTCTATGCTCTGTAATTTTAGTGATGAAACTATGTTCTTATTTTTCTTCTAGATCATACTCGTTTAGGTGTATGGGTCCTTGACGGTGATGCCTGGCATCGAAATTTATTAAAGTATGTTCTAAACGCTGATACATTTCCTCACACTACTGTTCTATTAACTGCAGCAATGACTCAGCCATGGGACATCTTAGAATCACTTCAAAATTGGGCCTTAATCTTAGAAGAACATGTTCAAAGGTTGAGATTGCCTCAGTCTGTTCTTGAGGAGCATCAGAGTAGAGGTATATTTTGATTTCTTTTAAGTTTGCAATGTAGAGTACAAATAGTTGTGTGATATAGTCATAGAGGGCAGAGTTATATGTTAAATTATTATTTTTTATTAGCATAGTTGAACAATATGCAGAAAAGAGCATTTTTAAACGTTTGTTTCCTGGCAGTGATATTCATTCAGTCAATAAGCCTTCTTTTATTATTTTTTTATGTGTGTGTATGCAATTATTCCTGTCTGGCACAGTAAGTGACCTTGAATTTTCTGATTGTTTTGTTACCCTTAATACAATGGAAGCTTGATCTTGTCAGAGTAAGAATTGCAGACTTCCAGACTTTAACCAAACTTTGTAAACAATTTAGAGAACAATGTTTGTCATGTACAAATAGGACACATACTGATTATAGGCCAGTTTAAGCTGTCAGTATCATTACAGCTGTTCAAGAGTAGATACATGCCTGACCAACCATTGAATTTGTGAAGGGATTAAAACATCTAACAGGATATTTGAAAAAAAAAAAAAAAAAAATGCATTGCAGCATTAGACAAATTACATTCAATTGATGACATACTTTGCAAATGTATAATGATTCCATTTTTCTATCAGTCCTTTTATCTGGACCCTATTTTAATGCATATCACTGTGAAATTGTTTCATTTGTCGAGGGAATGTAAAATAAATAGATACATTCCAACAGAAATTTATCTTTTGGTTCTGTGAGAGAGTTATAATAATATTTGAATGTTTTTTAAATCAAGTCATAAGCTTGTTTTCAAGCAGAACTGTATATGCTCATAATGCAGTAGGTCTTTTTGAGTTATTGAAAGAAATGAAATTGTTCAAAAACATACTCTACTGTGTGACTTATCTCACTTGTCTGACAGTAACATAAGCACCAGCCCATGAACGTCATCGTCGCAAGGAGAGCTAGATACTCCTGTTGTTGGCTAGAGCCATGAGCACCATAGAGGGACAGTATGACTCGCTGAGTTCCGCCCCAATTCTGCATTTTAATAGTTTTCAATTAAATACAAAGACATTTATTAGCATATAACAACTTGAGTGATGACTCGTACAGCAATGCCTAAACATTTAACATTTTTTTTTTTTTTTTTTTGGTAATTGAATAACAAAGAGTATGGTAATGTTTTATGTTGACATTACATTTCCTGATGATTAAAGTTAAAAAGCACTAAGAAATGGTGACGAGGAAAAATTTAACAAAAACTTCTTTCCATATGCTAAAAATAGATTTTGTTATATATTTTATTATGTTTAGTGCTATTTTAATTTAGGGAAGACAAAATTTTTGGAATTTAGAGGAGCACCAAGCAACAAAATTAAGGGATGACAAAATTTTTAGAATTTAGAGAAAGCACTGGGACCCAAAATTTAGGGGCAGTAAAAATTAGAACCTGGTAGCAGAATTTAGGACCCGCAGAAACTGCAGCAGACGGTAAGATGGTATCTAGCGCCGGCCCTCAATAAGTCTTAAGTATATGTGAAAATTTATTTATTCAGGATTCAGATAAGCCTTAAGTATGTGCAAGAAATAGATGTTAAGTATAATGAATAACTAAATTAATACAATTGATGTTTAATTGTCTCAGTGTGCGATAAAGGCAAGACAAAATTTATTGAAACAACTTGTCTTCTGTCATCAATCTCATGATATATAACCAATAATGTACACTGGATGCTATTAAGCTAAGCTAAAATTATACTTTACTGATTCCAAAGAATTTCAGTTAATATAGCAGATTGCGTTGTTCCTTAACTTTCTGAATTGTGATCAGCTGATTATTTTTGCAGGTTGTTATTATTACAGTTATTTTATGAAAATTAAAGTTTGAACTTTTGATTATGTCGAAATAATTCTGTAGCTGCAACAGGATATACAAAGTGAAATCATGTTTCGACGTCCATTAAACAAAAAGTGGAATTGCTGGGGGGGGAATGGGTAAAGGTATATCTGTCTCAAAATCTCGAGAAGTGTGGCATGATAAAATCAAATGTATATGACATAAATCAGAAAAAGGAACTGTTTCAATATTTTGAGGATTCCGATGCTCCACTCGCGATGAAAACAGGAAAAATTTAACAAATTAAATAGAACAATTATTTGTTATGCTGTAAATGATGACTGAATTGTCGCAGCGAGGGTGTGCCATTGATAGGTCCAATGCTAATGTCTCAAACCAAAATATTTCATGAAAGAATTAACTTAATGCACATATTCGACAGGTTGGTTAACCAAATTTAAAAACTGCCATGATAAAAGGAAATTAAAAATTTCAGGTGAGAAAGTTTCAGCTGATACTAAAGCTGCTGAACTATTTGCACTGAATTCATTAATAGTGAAAAGTTACTATCTCGAGAACAAATTTACCACTCGATGAAACCGGTCTTTTCTGGCTGTGGAGTTTAACCGCGTAATACCTTCCCAACCTCTACAGGAAAGGCTCCAACTGGTGTTGATCGAAGATTCCAAAGCAAGACCAACAATTTTAGCATGCGCAAATGCTGCAGGAACGCACAAGTGTAAACTTTTCGTAATTGGGAAAAAATATACGACCTCGAGCATATTGAAAGGGGTAAAGATTTTCATCGTTATACAGGGTGGTTATAATTAAAGTTCCATTTTCAAATGATCATAAACTACAGGACCAAATGTTATCAAACTTGGTAATCGTGTAAAGGAGGTCATGGGAATTTATTTCTCCCTTGACACTATATGCAATATTTTTAAACATAATAAGGGTGGGAATCTAACTTAACCTTTTATTACACGGGTTTAACATGCTGTATACCCTTAAAAAACATTGCCCCAAAATCACCATTTAAAGGCGATCAAAGTCTAGTGCACCATCCATGTAACGGAGAAATCCATCAATGAAAACCATAAATTAGCGATCAGAAAATTTTAAACCGTAAAAGTGTGCGCATTTCGGAAATCTTTTTCCTACAGATCGCTAATTTGTGATTTTTAAAGACTGAATTTGAATTCAACCTAAGACATGAAGTTATCTTTTTAAAACTTTTTTAATCGTTTCTAAAATGAAACTGTTTGAGGGTGTTGCAAAATTGAAATGGCTTGTAATTGGCTTATGGCAGGAAGAAACAAATTATTTATGCAAATAATATAAAGAATTTGGTCTAATTGAAAGATGTGATACACTGACATGTTCGTAACATTCCTTCTGATATGCTAGGAGCTGCTGTTGAGAATGCAGTAATACATACGATTTCACTTGCTTTTGAAAAATGGTGGATGCCACTTTGAACGTTCTTTGCAACACGTTTCAGAAACGATTAAACACATTATAAACCAATTCCTTTCATGTCTTATTTCATTTAACAGTATTGCATATAGTGCCATTTCTCTTCTGGTGGTGAATTTTTTTTTGCGGAAAATAAATTTCCATAACCTCCTTTACAGAATTACCAAGTTTGATAATATTTGGTCTTGTAGTGTTCCTTTTATGACCATTTCAAAGTGGAACTTTATTTATAACCACCCTGTATACCGTGCACATAAAACAGCATGGATGACAGAGGTGTTAATGAATGATTGGTTTGAAAATCATTTCATACCAGAGGCTCGGCAGCATTTGAATTTGGTTGGTTTACCTAATGATGCAAAACTTGCCCTAATTATAGACAACTGTTCGTCTCACACTTCATTTAAAATCTTGGTGAAATGTATCTGTATTATTCTTTTCTTCAAATTGTATGCCCATCATTCAACCTATGGATACTGGAATAGTGCGCATGCTGAAATGCAAATATAAATTAGCATTTTAAAAATAAATGTTAAATTTCTTGAATAATTACAAAACTTTTCAAGAATTTTTGAAATATTTTACCATAAAATTTGCCGTGTGGAGCATCGCAAGACCGCAGGAGGATGTATCTCTAGATACTTTTAAAAATGCTAGGCATAATTTATGGCTATCTACCATATTTCACAGTGATGATGAAGATGATAGCCGTGAATTTGAAGGTTTTTGAATATTGCAAATCAAAGATGATATTTTTCAAATAATGAATTTCATAAAGAAATCTGGAGAAGCGGTAATAAATGAAGATGATATAACAGGAATTTTTTATTGCGATGACACCCCAATCATCAGTCGATTAATGGACGGCGAAATCTGTAATATGGTTGTAGATCCACATAATACCGCTACCGATAGTGAAGAAAGTCACAGGAGGTTATTGAAAATGCAAACATTTCTATTGATGACTTAGTCAGAATGCTTAACGTAGCAATTACAGGACTTGAATGGTGGAACTTTGTAGCTAAGCAAGAAATTATGTGTGTCTGTAGAATTAACTCTCTGTTGGGCGCATCTCGAAACTTGCGGCATCGGGTGCACTGTATCTGTTAGATACACCTCTATTTTATGTGTTTTCTTTTGATCTGTATTACTTTAAATCTTCTATTTTTATTCTTTTTAGGTCCAGGCTTTTAGACTTTCTTTTTCTTTTATATTTTTTAATATTTTTATTTATTATTTACAATCACTATTACATAGGTTAAAATGCCATTTAAAAACACACATAATGAAACATGTTAGTTGAAAAAAGTTAAAAATATGGCAGTTGTTCACAAATAATTAATCACATAAAAATACATAATAAAATGACAAAATAAATCAGTTATACTTTAATTCGATTTTAAATTTTAGTTTTCATTTGAACATTTCTGACACATCATTACTGAACAAAATGTTCCAACAAAAATGTTCCATCAGCACAAAATTTTCAGCAGTACATACATTTATGCATGGTCAATCTACTTTTCTTTGTTTGACATGTCAGGCACCTTTTTGCGTTTATTTGTTTTTGTTACTTTTTTCTGACTTTTTGTAGGTTTTTTTTTTTGGGGGACCTTTGCTTTTTTTTCTTCAGCAGTTGGTCTGTAGGTTTGAAGTTCAATTTGCAAATCCTTCAATAAATTGGGTTTAGTCATGCGCTTAACAACTTCTTCATTGACTAATTCCTTCACC